GGTTTAGGGTTTGGGGTTTGGGGTTTAGGGTTTAGAGTTCAGGTTTAGGCTTTAAGGCTCTCTGTTGTACATAGCTTCATACGTAGGATAACTCTGGTGAGAGCGAGTTCGAAGTGTGGTTTGGGTTCTCAACAACACCCTACTGGCAACTAAGTCCTCATTCTCGCCTGCCTCATTCAGGTCCTGCCGGTCGTCTTTGTGCTTGCTGTCATTGCAGCAATATGGCCGCTCGGGCAGATTCAGCTGGAACATAAGACCAAGAAGGCGAAGAGCACTCAGAATACGGAGGAGACCAAGAATACACAAACTGCTAACAAGAGTGGCCATACTATTCAGACTAGTACTACTATATTACGGGTATTATTCAGACGAATGGTTTTATTGCTAGCAGCAATACGAATTCCTAAACCCTAAACCCTAAACCCTAAACCCTGAACCTTAAACCCTAAACCCCAGACCCTAAACCCCAAACCCTAAACCCTAAACATACTCACAATGCGGACAATGTGCACACAAGCCCCCAAGCTTTTCGGTGGCAGTCGCACTTCTCTCTCAACAGCGTGCAGACTCTCGATGTCCTCCTCGGGGTGGTTTAGGGTTTAGGGGTTGAGGGGTTTGGGGGTGTAGGGTTTAGGGGAGCACTTAGGTCTGCATACGTCTGGCTCCATCTGCTGAGACTCCTCCAGTTTGGCATGCCGGAGGCAGGATACCGTGGCAGGTCGGGAGTGAGCGGATCGCCTTCGCGAGCTGCAAAGCACGCTCGCTTCCCCAGATTCTTGGGAGGCTCCAAAAGGTAGAACCCCAAAAATACTTCCCCCAAAAAGTAGGCTCCTCCCAGGGGTCTGGGCCCCGTTTTTGGAGGTAGACCAGGAGACGAGGATGTGTGGGATGGCCGCAATCTCAGTGTGCCACCACACTTGGAGGTTCATGGTACTTAGAAACCCAAATTTTTAGCTGTACTTGTAACCCAATTATAATCCTATTGGGTACTTAAGCAGAAGCACTTTTTGCCGAAGAACTTCCACCCTGAGGTAGACGCACCCCGCGCTTGTCCATGCGCTTTTTGGCCTTTGTCATCTGGATCCGCAGCCCTCAATGGTGCTGTCCCACAAAGAGTCCCGGTTCTTCTACAAGGGATCTAGCGGTGGAAGGGGTTTAGGGTTTAGGGCCCTAAACCCCAAACCCTAAACCCTAAACCCTAAACCCTAAACCCTAAACCCTAAACCCCTAAACCCCTAAACCCCTAAACCCTAAACCCTAAACCCTAAACCCTAAACCCTAAATCCGAAACCCTAAACCCTAAACCCTAAACCCCAAACCCTAAACCCTCAACCCTAAACCCTAATTCGGGAAGCACCTCAAGCATGGACGTCTGAAGTCACAGCGTGCTGGACCAGGTCCAGACTGTCCTCTCACAGACCTTCGTCCTTCTGATGCTCATCTGCTTCTGGAGGGCTGCCCGGGCCTCAGATCAGGTTTAGGGTTTAGGGTTTAGTGTTTAGGGTTTAGGGTTTAGGGTTTAGGGTCTAGGGTTTAGGGTTTAGGATTTAGGGTTTAGGGTTTAGGGTTTAGGGCAGCTCTTTCGCGAGGAGGCAGCATCTCTAGGGCCCCATGGTTGAGGCTGAGGGCTCCTCTTGGTTGCGACCTGGAGAGGTGTAAAAGAAGGGGTCGGAATAACTACCAATAGTACTCCCTGATGGTCCCTTTGTGAATATAACTATACTACTCCCCCCCCCCAAAAAAAAAAACAATTCTAATTTGTAATAGTAATACCTTATGGTCCCTTTGTCAATATACTATAGCAACCCCCAAAGCCCTATTCTAATGATTAAGGCCTTTACAGTAGCTTCATTCTCCCAAGTGTCCGTCAGGTCTTCACAGATCCTGGAACGGTGTCTGGGCCTCAGGAACCCGGAGCAGAGATCCCAAAGCCTACTCTTCAGCCCAGCCCACAGGCAGAGAACGTGCTTCCCTAAACCCCAAACCCCACGCCAAAACCCACCCAAAAACCCTGAGCCCTGAGCTGCCAAAAGCCCCAAAATCAGACCCTAAACCCTAAACCCTAAACCCTAAACCCTAACCCTAAACCCTAAACCCTGAACCCTAAAGCCAAAACCCTAAACCCTAAACCCTAAACCCTAAACTCCAAGAAGTGCTGGAGGGGATCAGGCTCGGGTTTCTTGCCGCAGCCAGGCCAGACACAGCAGACTGGCTGCCAGAGACAAGCAGGCGCGTTTTGCCTGTCTTTTGGTTTTGAGGGGAATGTTTCTTTCTCCTACACCCAAAACCCTAAGCCCTAAGCCCTAAACCCTCAACCCCAGACCCGAAACCCTAAACCCTAAACCCTTAACCCTAAACCCTAAGCCCTAAACCCTAGATAAGTCTGAGGGTTCTTAGCGTTCATCGGGTTTAGTGTTTCGGACCTCCGGGTAGGAGGACCCTGCACCCTAAATCCGAACGCGTGAACCCTGAACCCCCTACCTCCCTGAGGTTGAGGGTTTAAGGTTTAGGGTTCGGGGTTTAGGGTTTTGGGTCCAGGGTTTAGGGTTGTGTAGCCCTAAAACCCCGACTGTTGGCCCCCCAACCGCGAGCAACCTGGAGACCTCACTTGGAGCAGGTTCATGGACAGTTTAGGGTTTAGGCCGGGTTGAGGCTGTAAGGCTTCGAGAAGAGGCTTACCCAAAAGCCCGAAAGCCTAAACGCGAAACCTTAGACCGGGGGACTTCCTACCCCCAATGTCGTTCAACCCTGAAATTCTGTTGGGAGTGTCTTCACGCTCTGAAGTTAAGTCAAGCAGCCTTTCCAGCTGTGGTTTGGACCGCAGGGTTTAAGGTGTCCACTGTGATTCTACTGCGCGTGGAAGCGTTCGGGGTCCCTTGACGGAATGTGGTACCCTAAACCCTAAACCCTAATCCCTAAACCCCAAAACATTCCCCAAGCCCAAAGCCCTACACCCTGAAAACCATAAACCCTGAGTCCCAGATGCATGGCAGCCCATGAACCCCAAACCCCAAAGCCTATACCCTGAACCCTAAACCCTGAGCCCCTTTGCTAGCACCTCTGCGACAGGCAAAGCCCTGCCAGCCAGGCCAGGAATGACCATAGGTTTCGGGGTTTGGGGGTGTAGGGTTTAGGGTTTCGGTGTTTAGAGTTCAGGGGTTTAGAGTTTAGGGTTCAGAGGGTTTAGGTTTTAAGGACTGTGGAGTGGACGTGAGACCCGAAACCCAGAGCCCCCTACATTCGGCTTTAAAGGATGAGGGTTCTAGGATGAAGGGCTTTAGGATGATGGAACAAGGTCTTCCGAATTTGCCATTGCTGTGTGCGGCAGGACTTTTTGTCAGATTGGAAGCTGGGTCTTGTGTGTGTGTGTGTGTGTGTGTGTGTGTGTGTGTGTGTGTGTGTGTGTGTGTGTGTGTGTGTGTTACATGAGTAGTTCGGGTCCCAACCCTGAACCCTACTCCCACAACCATCTGTTGATGCAAACTCAAGGAAGCTAGGTTCCAATGCCAAAGCACCCTGCACCCGTGGCTACTTCAAGCGCTCTTCTGTAAAGTATCTACGAAATGAGAGAACCACCAAAAAAATTCTCGGTAGGCCCCATTTCTCAAGCCATGTAGGGTTTTATGCAAGGTTCTTGTTCTGGTAGAGTGCCGCACTCATGCATCCGTTTGCCCCAAGTGTCGCGACCGTTGGCTCACCCAAGCATGCATCAAGCACATAAACAAGCTGTTCTCAGGTCATGTTATTGTAGTGCTTTGCACTACTTTCTTCCTCTGCCTGTTCCCTAGGAACCTGAAACAGGCAAGCGTTACTAGCATTGCAAAGTGGAGTGCTGCAGTGACTCTACTCAGAGCATGGCTGCAGACGAGAGTGAGGTGGTGTCTGGGCTGCACAGCAACCTGTTTCCCGCAGGAGAAGACACACCGCAGCTAAAACCAGCTCAATGTTGCCAGTCTAGAGCAATAATTTAGTAGGTTCTGCTGTGTTTCTCACTTCTTGGAAACCTTTGACGTTACGGTTCGACATGAGTTGGGGGCTTCGTAGCTGTAGGGTTGCAGTGGTACAAGTTCGTGCAAGGCCAGTTTGGGGTTTGGGGTTTAGGGCTTGGGGTCGAGGTGCGGGTTTAGGGGCTTGGCTGCATGAGACGACCTTTCGGGCATGAGCGATGAGCGCCCTGAGCAACATCGTGCAGTCCGATGTTGGTGGCACATGGCACAGACCGCAAGCCATAGAGAACGTGACGATATGAAAGCCTCAAGCAAAGCATGAACCTCTTTTCTTGCGAGATCAAGGCAGGGGACCCGACGTCCTTTTCGAAATTGCTCAAGTATTGCCTTCTTTGGTTGTAGCTTAAACAGACTCGGAAACAGACAAGTCCTTTCCTGTGCCCAGACAGGGCTATGTGCATGGGCGCCACAGCGTGCCTAGTATCCCAAAATATCGACCATTTAATGAAGCTTAGAATGTAGGGTTCAGGGCAGTGTCTGTTCTTAGTATGGGCGCCGGCAAGTACGACTCCATGTTCAGGTAGTTGAGTTGTGTTTCGGGCATTTGGTGAGTTGTTCTATGCGACATTGGAGAGAAGACTACAGTGCCAGTGTTGCAAGAGAAGTGGTGACGAACAATGCATATTAGTTGCAAGGCAGCCAGCTTTCTGAGGCTTTTCAGCTTATCCGACGGGGCAAGCTCTCGTCACTGCAGACGCTTGTGTCGTCCAAGTTCTCTTGGAGCAACGTGTACGCTGCGCATGGTGCCACACCGCTGCACCATGCAGTCTATTGGTCGATTATGATTGCAGACATCCCCGAGCGGGAACAGGCATTCTTGGACATGGTTGACTGGATGCTGAAGTCAGGTGCCGATCCGACTGTGCAGGTTCCAAGCCGCCTTGGAAAAGAATTATCAGTGGCTTTTACGACGGCAAGGGACAAGAGAAACCCGGCTCGTCGGCGTCTGTGCAATCTGGAGGCCACTCAGCGACGTCTTATCTACTCGAGTGGATGTCCGAGTTGGAGAAGACGAAGCATCACGAGGTTGCAGTGAAGTTCTTAGACAGAATGCTTGACGTCTTCGCCCGTACTTCGGCTCGCCCGATGAAAGCTGCCATCGACCCTGGTGTCTTGGATAGGTGGGAGGCCGCGTCTTGCCTGTGTTTTTTTTGGGGTTTTGGGCACATGTTGCGGAACACCTGATTTTCATGCTGTATCTTCGATCGTAAAGGAAGCTAGGAAGCTCTTCCATGCAGCAGTAAAGCAAGACTATGAAGCGGGTCACAAGTGTTGCTCTACCGGTTGATTCGGACTTCTGCTGGTTCACTTCTTCGTTTTTGTACTGGTGCCGCTGTGCCAGGGGTAGCCATGATACTTCACGACTCAAACGTGTGGGTTGAGTTCCTTTGTGCAGTTAATGGTTGTCCTTGCTAGTCTGAGTAACATCTTTTCTCGTGCGCTGTTTACATGATTTCGAATCATGTCGGCCACTATATATACTGTGTCAACCAAGACATCTTTACTCACTCGCCTGCTGCAGATGGCGGAAATCTTGCATCTTGCGCGACTTCTAAGCAGCTCAAAACATGTCTGTGGCTGTGCGATTGCATTGTTAGTAATTATGGCAGCATCCGGTCGCTGCATCAAGGACATCCTGCACCGCCTGTAAGCATCTCAGAACTGTAGTGATACTTGACAAGGGCAACCGATACATCTGTATGCATATGTATCCCCTTCTATCTCTGTCTCTATTTGTTTATTTATACACGTTTCTTCACATGTGGTTATTGCCCCGCTTGCCCCTCCTCCCGCCCGAGGTTTTGGATGCGACAGATTCGCACAATGTGGCCTTTGCGACGGCGGACGGACGTGTAACCGCCCACGACCACATGCTGGAAGCGTCCTCACCTGTGCTAAAGGCAACAAGGTGTCCAGCAGCATACTTCATCGTTTGGTTTGGGCTTGCCTGTAACGACCGTACAAGTGGGCGTTTCCCCTTTGGCCAAGCATCTTAGGCAATGTTGAGTTCCTCCATGCGGGAAGGTTCAACTCGCAAGATTGACATTCGTGACTCCTCGGGTGCTGGGCTGTCCCTTTTCCTGGAGATTCTCTACACAAGCTCGACGCGCTCCAACATTCTGTGGCCAGATGTGAATGTCGCACTGGATTTGGCACATCGATGGCAGGTGCCAGATGTGGTTCGGGTCCTTTCGGACCTGCTGCAGGACATACACGGTCTGAACAATCTACTTGGTCGTTCATTTTGTATTCATTTTGTAGTGCCCATGATTTCAAGCACGGTTTGGGACGACTCTTGGGGTCACAAGCGTGGGGCCAAGAAAAGCTGCGTGCAGGACATGCTCACTGCAGACAACTTGGTGGGGACTGCCGAGGCCGCAGTGCTGAAGGGCTTGGGACCCCTCCAGAAGTCCTGCGTGTCCTTCTGGTCAGCTCTCAGTGATGCGGCGAAATCTAAAGTGAAGGCAGATGGGAAGATGCCCAAGTCCGTAAAGATACTTTTTGGATTGCTGGAGGCTGGATCCCCAGACCAAGCGCAGAAGAAGCGCCGGACATTCTGAGGTTTCATCTACGATTGTAGAAACTCCAATGGCTTCCAGATAGGCGGTGCCACGCATAACCACGTGAGGCCAGCTTGTCGTTGATTCGGTTTTGCAAGGCTTGTGTGCAAATCGGGACCCCACTTCTTGTGTCCAAGGTTTGAGTTGCATTTCTTCCAGATCCAGGGTTTAAGCTTCAGGGACGTGGGCTGCATTCCTAATTCCTGAACCTTAGTGGCAGTATGTAGTGATCGTCATGGTCATAGCAAGGAGGCCCCTAGAGTCATAGCTGCTGGAGTCAACGCCTTCCCAGTGACCATGCAGTTTAGGGTTTAGGGTTTTAGCACTTGCTCCTCTTTTGACATCATCGGCCCAGCTTGGAGCGGCAATCGCCATGTGCAGTTCGCAGCCTCCTTCGTTCGCATCCGATTCTTCTCTTTCGGCTTGCTGTGCATACATGGGTGGTTGTCAAAATTATGGTCCCTTTTTGGGTACCCTAAATATTAGGTGCCGTATTATAATAGGGACCCAAAAAGGGACTATGATTTTGACAACCACCCACATGTAGTTCGTTCCTTGCCCCTTGCCCTTCGAGTTCTCCCTGCCGCAGCCACCGGCCCTGAGCTGCCTGAAATCCTAAAGCCCTTAAACCTAAAACCCTACACCCCGCACCCTACACCCTACACCCTAAACCCTAAGCCCTAAGCCCTAAACCCTAAACCCTATAACCCTATAACCCTATAACACTATAAACCCATAAGACCCTAAGCCCTTAAACCTACAGCCCTAAACCCGAACCCCGAACGACTTCGTGGTTTCGGAACCCGGAGCAGCGCAGGTGCAGCCGCTGTGCCACGAGGCCGGCCGCAGTTTTGTGAGTTTTCTGGCTTCGAGTGCTTTCAGGGATTTGCATGGCTGAAGGGCGTAGGGGCCTAGGCTTTGCAGGGATTGGGCGTTTCGGGTCTAGGGTTTGGGGTTTATATAGGGTTTAGGGTTTAGGGTTTATTGTGGGTTTGGCTTGAGGCTTTCGAGTTCTAGCGTCTCGTTGGCATGTTAAGTCTGTAAGGCCACTGAGGAGCAGCCGAAGCTTGCATCGGCCCAACCGCCGGAACCCCTAATCTCGTGCCCTTCACCCTAGAAACCCTGAGAACCCTGAAGTGTAAGAGCACTAAACTACTATGTGCTTAAGAACCCACCCAAAAAGTATACATCAAAAATCCCCTATATTGGCCTTTTCAGGAATATTATTCTTAATATTTTTTTGGGGGGGGGTTCTCTGCAAATAGCAGTGAAGTGTCACCCCTGAAGCCTGTCCTAAGCCAGCCTGCTCTGGGCTACCGGCTACCGCCACCGAAACCGTTCGCCCCTAAAGCGCTGGACCCGCTTAAGTCCTTCCTTCAACCCTAAACCCGAAACCCTAAACCCTAAACCCTAAGCCCTACACCCGAAACCCTAATCCCTAAACCCTAAACCCTAAGCCCCAAACCCTAAACCCTAAACCCAAAGCCCTAAACCCAAAGCCCTAAACCCTAAACCCTAGACTCAAACCCTCAGCCCCAAACCCAAAGCCCAAAGCCCTAAACCCTAAACCCTAGACTCTAAACCCTAAACCCTGGAGAGGTGAAGCAGAAAGGAGGGCAGCGCCGCTTCTGCCAGAAGTGCCTGAAGTGCTCCGCCAACTCGAAGAACCCGAAGCCCCTGGCAGTTTTTAGGGTTCAGGGTTTAGGGTTTAAGGTTTAGGGTTTAGGGTTCAGGGTTCAGGGTTCAGGGTTTAGGGTTTAGGGTTTAGGGTTTAGGGTTTAGGGCTTAGGGTTTCGCGCCCCAAACCCTCAGCCCGAAGCGTTAGACTTCCAGCCCCAAAGCTCCGAGGGAGGAACCGAGGGGCTCTCAGGCCGAGGAGCTGCCTTCCGGGAGGGTTTAGGCAACAGTTTGATAGGCCAAAGGACTTCTGGGCCTTCCGGAAGGGCCTGTGCACCTTCCAAAACCCCATGAAGGCCTCGGTAGATTGTTGAACATAATGTTAGGGTTTAGGGTTTAAGGTTTAAGGTTTAGGGTTGAGGGTTTAGGGTTTAGGGTTGAGGGTTTAGGGTTTTAGGGTTTAGGGTTTAGGGTAATATTTATCAAGCCATAGCAACCCCCAAAACCCCATAAGGCCTCGGTAGGCCCTCGGGACATTTTGTATTTAGTTTCCTTGATTGGGGTTAAGAGGATCATATTCAGGAATACCCTACACCCAAAACCCTAAACCCCCTGTAATATTCAGTTTAGGCTGTGGGCTTCCGGTGGTCACTACTCCCGTGAGGTACAAGCCAGATAGATGCCGCGCCCTTAGGTCTCGTTCCTGCGGCTTGTGGATATTCGGGTGTAGGGTTTGAGGCCTTGTTTGCTAGTCCTTGGAGAAGTTCGTGGGTGCTTGGTGCCCAAAATCTTCACAGCAACAGCCTGCATCGCCACGGAAGCTTCTGCGAATCCTCAAGCCCCAGAGTGTTAGCTCTAGGGAGTGACAGCCGCGCGGGTTCTTCGATGTTAGGGTACCCTTTGGGCATAGGCTTCCTTGCGGAAGGGAGCCGCGGCAAGGGACCCCGAGAATGCCCAGAATGCGAGCATTCTAGATGCGACCGTTCAAAGAACTCTCATTTTTTGCCCATAGTTTTTTGCATAGTTTGTAGAAGTACAGCATGAACGAAGTTCCTTTCTCGTAGGCCCTTGAAACATTTTTTATATATTCCTTGTTGGGTCTAAGAGGATGAAATTCGGGCATCTCTTTCAGAGGGATTTTAAGGGCCCTCCGAGTTGTGATCAACAGTCACGAAGCAGCTCCTGACATCCTTCTTGCAGCTCTTTTTCCCCCCGCCGAGGCCACCATTGCAGGGTCTGCAAGTGCGCCCCGCCACCCACGCTTTTTGAAAGCGCAGCGCTCACCTGCGCCCCAAGTGGCTTAGGGGCCCGAAGCCCTAAACCCTGAACCCCAGACCCTAAACCCCAAACCCTAAACCCTAAACCCTAAACCCTAAACCCTAGACCCTAAGCCCTAAACCCTGAACCCTAAAGGTTTAGGGCTGAAGTGCTGCGGTTTGAGGGTTGAGGGGCCCCAGGGGCTTGCTGAGGTTTACTCCTGCTCAAAAGGTTCGCAAAAGCCTCAGGGTTTAGGTTTTTTTTCGGGCGGCCCTGAACCTTAAACCCTCATCCCCAAACGAACCCTAAACCCTAAGCCCTAAGCCCTAAGCCCTAAACCCTAAACCCTAAACCCTAAACCCTAAACCCTAAACCTTAAACCCCAAACCCTGAACCCTAAACGCTGAACCCCTACTTGGAGAGCTTCGGGTAGCTAGCGGCCTTTCCCTGGCGCAGTTCCTGCATCCTCCGTATGGACCACCACTGCCCATGGATTGCGAACTGCGTCGGATTCAGGACTGCCAGTGGTTCCTAGTAGGGAATGAAGGAATGACCTTTAGGGTTTATATTTATATATATATATATAAATATATTCAAAAAACACATAAATATATATACATATATATATATATGTATATACATAAATATCGGGCCCTAAATCCCCTCATTCCCTACTAAGAACCAGGATTCAGGCTGATTCAGGACTGGCAGTGGTTTTCAACATCGCTTCAGGCCAGAAGCCCGAAATCCTAAATTGTATATAGTGTAGAACAGAAAAACAACTATATATACATATATGTATATGTATGTCTGTATGTATGTATGTATGTATGTATGTATGTATGTATGTATGTATGTATGTATGTATGTATGTATGTATGTATGTACGCATGTATGTATAGTAAAAATGTATTCTACCTCACAAGTTTTTGGCTGTTGTGGCTGTAGAGAGGCAACGAGTGAAGCCAAAGAAGCCGCATGCGCAGGAACCACAAGTACTTCTTCCTTCTGGTCCCCGGATGGCAGCTTCAGCGGGTTGAGGATTTGGGTTGAGGGGACAACCTGATGAAGACGCTTGCATGTGTAGCCAAACCCTAAACCCTAAACCCTAAACCCTAAACCCTGAACCCTAAACCCTAAGCCCGAAGCCCTAAACCCTAAACCCTAAACCCTAAACCCTAAACCCTAAACCCTAAACCCTAAACCCTAAACCCTAAACCCTAAACCCTAAACCCCACGCCCGATATCCTAAGCCACCATGCAGTCCAACCCTTTCAGTCAGCCCCAGGTCTTCTATTCCGCCCTGAGCTGTTGGTTCATCATCGGAACCATGGCCAGCAGTGTGTTCCCTGGCCGAAATGAGCTGCTTCCATTGGTTTAGGGTTTAGGGTTTAGGGGTTAGGGGTGAGGGGTTAGGATTTAGGGTTTAGGGTTCAGGGTTTAGGGTTCAGGGTTTAGGGTTTCAAGGATATAAGGCCTCGATAGGCCCTTGGGACTTTGTATATCTTCCCTTATTGGGCTTAAGAGGATCATATTCAGGAATATTTCTTTAGAGGGTTTTAAGGGCCATCCTAGTTGGTCTGCCACAGAGGGTCTGGTTCAGGGTTGAGGGATTTACGGCCCGAACCCGGGCTGAGGGATTAAGCCTTACTAAGGTTACTAGGGTTTACGACAGGCAGAAGCTTTCCGGCTCCTGTCTGCAGATACTCTGATAGACCCTGAAGCCCAAACCCTGTTGAACCCAGATTGCACGGCCTCACGCTGATGGAAGCTCGTGCAGAATGAACAAGAATGTCACAAGTTACTTCAGAGCACCCCTAAACCCTAAACCCTAAAGGCCCTAAATCCCAAATCCTAAACCCCAAACCCTGAACCGCAAACCCCAGACCCTAAACCCCAAACCCTAAACCCCAAATCCTAATTACGAAGTGCACCTGGTGGCTGACTCTTTGATACCCAGACACACCTTGGCAATGTTCAAGCAAGGAGACGTGGAACATTCAATTCCTGCCTGCCTACTGGTGCTTCGTAAGGAATGAAGGGATTGGGTGCCTGACATCCCCTTTCAGGGACCCTACAGGGTACCATAATACCCTCATTCCCTACTCAGAACCAGTTGGTCCGTG